CTACAATTGCTGAAAGTTTCATGTAAAACTATAAGTGCTTTCTAGGGAGGCCGATTTCAACGCAAAACGTCTCCCGTCCTTTTCATTTTGAACGAAGAAAAACCAAACTTGGATACTTACTTTGATCAACAAATTTCTTCATCTCCGCTGATGTTAATAGGCAAACAAATGGCCATGATTGTTCGATTAATGAATATTGATCATATTCACGCAAATCTTTAAACGACGGGACTAAATATAAACATCGAATTAATTCCAATAAAACAAATGAAGCAGTTTCACATACCATATCATTATTTGTAACATCTAAAAACTGACAAAAACCGAAATACAAGTCAATGAATTTCTATGAAAATCACACTAATAAACAAATGAGTTTCATCATCAATCGAAAAATCTGACGGCGTCTGTTGTGTTGAATCCAATGATGAATAAAATGGTTGTGACTGAAAAATCATTCATAACCGTAATGGAGATGAAAGGCTAAATTCATTCAATAAGTATCAACAGAAAACAATACTTGTGACTTACTTGTTCATTGGAAAGCCAAATAGCAGCAATGATTCATTGATATAGACAGCAGTTGTTGTTGTTGGTGGTGGTGGTGGTGTCCATCATTGTATTCGAGGAGTAGGAGCCGATGGCTGGGGTAATGCTCGTTTAATGCCATGACGTGGCGCACGTTCATTTTGTACGATTAAAATATAAGTACGTTTTTCATTACTGTTAAATACGCCTCAACAGCTTCTTCTATTTTTGCTTAAGTATGATGATGTGCAAATAATTCTGATCGACTCTCATCTAGACAGATGTTAATGATCCCCACCACTAGGTTTCATTTTCATAGCTAAACGACGTTGAAATTAACATGCTTGGTATTGATTATGTCGATTCATATCCACCTGACATGTTGAATCACCTTTGGATTCGTATTCAACTTTTCGTGTTAATTATAAAATGCGAAACGAATAAGATATTTACAGAAACACTCTTCTCTTTACCAAACACTTCGTTTAAGCCCCCCCCCCCCCCCAAAGAAGTCACTTTTCATCAGATTCATAAAAATCGAGATAAACACATAGGAGTATAGTCTGTCATTTGCCCTTATAGAAACGATAAAAAATTTTTCTTCGGTATCTCCTTTTTTCCCAAAAATTTTAAAGATTTTTGATAACTCCTATTCGAAAAAACCAGCGGTTTTTAAAAAAATTCAGAAATTTTTTTCTTTTTTTCTCAAAGGTGTAGTCGAACGACGCAGCCCCCAAAAAAGTCAATTATTATCCGATATAAAGTCGAATTATTTTTTTTGTTTGACAGAGCATATCAGAATGCAGTGCTTGCGAGGGTCCTTTTTTTTTTGATAAAGCTTTCTTATTATTATATTGAAAAGCGACTTTATAATATAAGCATGGTTTTTTTGAGGAATTTTTGATTGATGGAACTCGTGCAGACTTTTTTTCTTATTAAAAATAAGAATAAAAATAAAGGACCCTCAGAGACATTGCGTCCTGACATGCTGTTTCAAATGAAGAAACAATGAACCAAATTGAATGAATATCCATAGAGAAATTTGGAAGCTACGATAAGCTTTTTGTCGACCCTTGTTTGGTTCGAATCTACCATATACATCAGGATAGAAGGCTGAAATTTTTATCACAGACGTACTTTTACACCCTCAACATATCCTCAAAGTTTCATACTATCTCGATGTTCTGGAGTTGAGATCGAATTTTGAAGGGGTCCTTAAAGAACCCACGCAGCTCAATACTCCATTGTGTTTTCCACTTGCTTTATCACCACATACGAAACAAATCGATATGTGACGACGAATTGCTGCTGTTGTTGAAGTCGACGTTAGGAAATTTGTCTTAGTAGATTATATGTTCTTGGAAGGTAACAAATCTTCTATTATATAAATAACACCTGCTGATCATTTAACATACCGCATTACCTTTTTAGTTCCAGAAATGGCATGATGGAAAAAAAAAATTCACCGTTTAATAAAACTAATAGTCCTAAACACTTCTGTTTGTTTTTGATGCATTTATGTATCGAACTGAACAGATATTCTTCTTACTGATTTCATAGGTGCCGATGTCGGATAAAAGAATAAAATATGACGAACGTCTATTTATACATCTTCTCTTATAGAGAAATGATCGGCATAGACAAAAGTACACTAGAGAAGATTATCGAGCGTTTTGTCAATAAAACAATGTGAACGCGTATTTGACTACGTGCTTTATGAGCGAAGTGGAAGAGAGATAGAAAAAAAATGGTTGATCAAACATGCAATTGAATATAAATATTGTCTATTAGATATAAATCAATGAATAAAAAGAATGACGATTAAAATTTATCCAACAGAATTTTAGTTATATTAAAGAATTTTTTTAGTTCAAAAATATTCCAATACGTTCTTTTATTAAAAAACAGTATAAATTTCTTTTTATGATCACTAGTCACTATTTCGAATAAAATTCCTCGAGAAATTCTATCGTCGAGTTGGATATTTATTTTCGAATGATGCTAATGTTGGAGGTACACAGTGATGAACAGTAGTCGAGGAAGAAAGCATTCGTTTTTGTAATTCTTTCAATGATTGCGATCGATCAGTGTAGACTGGATAGCATACATAGCCGATAGGTTTTGGTGATGGTGTTCGTCTTTTGTAACTGTCCTGATAGGTTGTCGTACCAGTCTTTGGTCTATGGATTGAACGTTCTACATGAGGTCGTTTTTCAATAATACTATCACAATCTGTACAATAGAAAATTGAATTTGTCGATGACGCCGGGGGCCTATGACGTGATATAGGTGGAGTATTTATAAAAGTTGCTTCAGAAGGATATTCTTGATTAATTGTATAGAATGTCGGTGAGGTTAGCTGTTGTTGTTGTTGTTGTTTTATTTGTCGAATATCATCTTTAATTTGTTTCAATTCACGATGAATAGATTGTGTCTCTGAGATTTGAGTATTATTTTGCTTATTGGTTGCTATATAGATCTCACAGGGTGATTGATAAGGCGCTGGAATTTCATACTGTCGAAAATAAATGCATGTTGGCGTTGGTTCAGGTGAACGAACTCGATAGATTATTGTTGGATTCATACTATTAGCATGAAAAAGATTAAAAACTTTAAATAGTAATGCAGAATAGAAAGCTGTAGTTAAGTTCGATGACAAAAAAAATAATATTTCATTCCTTCATGCATTTTTTTTATTGAAGTTTGAAACGCTTCCAAGGGAACGATGAAAGAAAAAATACTTTGTCATTGTTGTAAAATTTTTTTTTACATCGGTTTCTTTAGGATTCTGCCACCAAGAGAATGAAAGATTAACATGGACTACCATCACGGTTTCTTTAAAAGAGAACGAGCAAAATTGTCAAAAGAAGAGAACAAAAAAGGTGACTCAAGTAATATATGCGTAGAATGAAATTTTGCTAACAATGAAGAACGAAAGTCTCTAACAATTCGTTTATTTTAAAAATATCAAATTATAAGTACATATTCAGGGTTGATTCATCATCAAGTTCAGTAATAAATACCCAACCAGTTAACATCCAAGGAATACGATAATGTCCAACTCATCATTGTCGCCAAAGTAATGCTAATTAGATTACGAACATAGATTGTAAATGAAGTTGGACTAGGATCATAAATAATTCCGTAATTGACTAAAATATAATGAGATAAGGTACCAACCATACTCGTAAAATAAATAGGAGTGCTAGTGAAATTGCAACTCGCTATGCCGATTTTCATATAGATTGTATCACTTGAGTATATTTGCCATTCTGTATATGTTGCAACACTGCCACATGTTAGTGTCCTGCAGTTCCTATAAGTACTCGGGAACCGAACCGGAATCGTTGGTTCCGGTTCCCAAAGTCAAAAAAAAGTGGCTCCAATTTCGATTCCCAAAATTGGTTTTAGGAACCCGTATTTTCACGTTGATATACAGAGTTGGAAAAAATATTATTCCAGGGAGGTAACGCTATAATTTCAAATAGGAGATATGATGAATTTTATACCAA